CCCCCCCACCCCAGAGAGAAATATCAGCTGTGCTGCTGCCATCAACACCCTTGTTTTTAAGAAGATGGAGTTTGGCCTGTTTTTCAGTTTAGTCCTGTTTCTCTTACTGTGACTAACTGTACGTGCTCTCTTTCATCCACTGACACTGGAGCTGGCTCACAGCTCGTCTGCCTGACTATATATTCCCTGGGCCAGTCCGCCTGTGGAGCTGATTGACAGTTACCTTCTATAAATCTGTTTCTTTTTCCATGTTTGCTTCTGTCTCCTTGAAACCCAGTCGGCCTCGGTAGATGGCCGCTAACACTGAGCCTGGTTCTACTGGAGGTTTCTTCCAGTTAAAAGGGAGTTTTTTTCTCCACCGTCCCTACCTGCATGCTTAGTGTGAGGGATTGCATTCGAGTCAATGACTCGATGCAATCAACTGGTTTTCCTTAGATAGAAACTTTGAATCTGATTGTAAATAGTAAAAATTATACATTTAACAGAAGCATTAAAATCATAAACTACAATGCAAATATAGCAAATATGCAAATATATATTTGACATTATGGAAATGAGTCCTTGATCTTTATGAGAAAACTGCAGTGAACAATGTTATCAGTGATGATTTAAAGTAGCCAACCCTGTTGATCCATTTCAAGGTTTCAGGTGGTTTGTTCTCTAAGTGGAATGGGAAGCGAAGGCTGCGTTCCTTTGTTAAGTTCTTTGAAAAGGTCACTGAGAGCTGTATGGTTTGTAACAAACAAGACTCTAAGATGTATTCAGTCCCAAATGTTTAAGTTCTTAACATACCAGTAGCAAGATTTAAAAATCTATCTGGGAACAAACAGAAAGCCAGAAATGCTGTCATGTTATTAGCAGACATCATTAAAGTAATATAATCTATAAAAGTATTGCTAGTTCTGATTGTTCTTAGTGTTGTTAAGATGATAGTGATCTGAGTTTGGAATATAATGACACAATCACCAGCATGCAGGGTAACATTGTAGTGTCGTTGGCTTGTGTTTTGATGGAAAAATTTCCAAAACTGACTTAATGTTTTACCAGCCTCTAAATGTTTATGAATTCATGCATTTATGGAACTTCATTTTTGTCTTTTATGTGTTCTTGTTTGAAAATTTGTGTCACTTTAGTTAAAAAAAAAAATAATTCTGTTTGTCTCAACCACACATGTTCTAGTCTGCACATCTGGCACGTGAAAAAAGCCATTCATTTCATCTTAAAGACCAGTGACAGAATCTTGTCAGATCACAGTCAAGTCTTTGTCTTTGACTCTGCGGTATATCTTTTTGTCAGGAACCATTATGGTTTCATGTCAAAGTCTTGCTTAGTGATCTCTCTGATATATGGACACATCAGGGCCAACTTGTCATCTTTTTTCTCTTTGTCTCCATTGTCTTGCGCTAATGTTAAATGTTACATTGTG